GGGGTTTGAACCCGGCTAGTACAACCACCTGAAGTCGCCCCATCCCCTTTTTCTTTTTTTTTTTTTTTTTTAAAAATATAAAAGGGACGTCTTGCTCGTCACCCAGGTTGGAGTTGGGCAGTGGCTTGATCTCGGCTACTGCCAGGTCTGCTGCGCTTCCAGTTCAGTGATTCTCAGCCCTCAGCTCTCGAACAGCTGGGAATGTATGTGGCATTTTGTGCCACATCTGGGGTTTTTTTTGTTTGTTTGGTAGATGGTAAGTCCACTCGTGGTGTGCCCCAGGGCTGAGTGCAATGATGGCGAAATCTTGGGACTCTATCCACTATTACCTTCCGCCTCCCAGGTTCAAGATTTTCCGTTGCCTCAGCCTCCTGAGTATGCTCGGGATACAGGCATACCAGGCATGTGGCCCACCCACAGACACCGGTCTTGTATTTTGGTGTTTGTGTTTTAAGTGTTGAATGATCTCATGTTTCACCTTATGGTTTGCCCCAGGGTGGTCTTTGAACTCCCCCTGGCCTCAAGGTGATCTGGCTTGTCTATCTCTCATTTTGGGGCCTCCAATAAGTCTGGGATTACAAAGGCGTGAGCCTGTGCCTGGCCATCTCTCCATCTTTTTTTGAAGTTGGGTTCTCTTCTCTGTTTGCCAGGGCGGAGGTTGCAGTTTGCCCATCTCCGCTCGCTGCAAACTCCGCCTCCTGGGTTCACCGCCCCTTCTCCCTCCTCAGCCTCCCGAGGTAAGGCTGGGACTACAGGCGCCCACCCACACGCCCGTCTAATTTTTGTATTTTTTGTTTTTTTGTTTGTTTTTTTTTGTTTTTTTTTTTTTTTAGACGGGAGTCCTCGGCTCTGTAAGCCCGGGGCGGAGGTGCAAGATGGCGGAAATCTTCAGCTTTCCATGCAGCTCCGCCTCCGGCGTTCCACCGCCTTTCTCCTGCCTCAGCTCCCAAGTAACTGACCTAACAGGCGGCCCCGCCATCTCGCCGGCTAGTTTTTTTTTTGGTATTTTTTAGTAGAGACGGGGGTTTCACCGTGTTCACCAGGATGGTCTCGAATCTCTTGACCTCGTTGATCCACCCGTCTCGGCCTCCCAAGTGGCTGGGATACAGGCTTGGGGCCCACCGCGCCCGGCCCATTTTTTTGTATTTTAAATAGAGACAGGGGTTCACCATGTTAGGGGCCAGGGGATTTGGTCTCGATCTCCTGACCTCGTGATCCCCACCCGCCTTGGCCTGGGTTGAGGGGATTACAGGTGTGAGCCACCCGTGGGCCCGGACTCTCCCATCTTTTTAACTGCAATGCGTCAGGCAGCGTTCCTTTGTCTTCTCTGCAGATGCAGGCAGCAGGTATATGGGTTATAGGAACACAGGTGGAAACCCTGTGCCAGAAGGAAGGGGCTTATCGGGGTTGGTTCACCTCGGACCATTCCTTCCCATGTTCATCCTCCAGGTCAAGTCGGGCCACCCATTCTTTGGACAACTATCCCTATCACCCAACGGATTGAGGGGCATACGCGAGGGAGTTTGGGCAATGAGACGGGGGCGTAACAAGGTGGAGTCCTGGTCCTGATTTGGGGGCGGGCAGGGAAGGCAGGGTGGCAAGGCCCTGAGGTGTGTGGCTCTGCCTGGCAGCAGCAGAGAAAACAAATGAAGGGACAAAGGACGAGGAGCAGAGCTTAAGGAACGAGGAAGAAAGACAGAAGCACGCAAAAAAGGAGAGAGGCAGAGGACAAGGCAGGACGATGAGACAAAGATGAGGATGAGAGGATGAAGGAGGATAGGATAAGGAGGAATATGATGGAGGAATATGTCCCCGGCCAGGGCAAGGACAGCTGTAGAGAGGGCCTGCCTCCAGGGCTGGACTGAGGCCTGAGCGCTTCCTGCCGCAGAGGCTGGCCTGCGCCCAAATATTAGTCTCTGTTGAGACTGTGCGAGACTTTTCCATTTTTCTCCCCAGGTGCGGTTCGGATTTGGGTGTGGTTTTTTGGTTGGGTTCCCTTCCCTCCCAACTGTTCCCCCTCCCGCCGCTTCGTCCTTTTTTTTTTTTTTTGTTTGTTTTTTTTTAACTGGTGTTTACCTAAAAAAAAAGGGATGGAGCGACTCAGGTGTTGTACTGCCCGGGTTCAAACCCCAGCTTTGTGGTTTCCTGCCCCCATGACCTTGGGCTACTGACTTCAGTTCTCTGCACCTGTTTCTTCTGTTTCTCACTCTCTTATTCAGGTATTTTTCAGGTACCTACTAAATGCCAAGAAATGTCTTGGGCACAGAAGGTGACCAAAAAAGACAAAAATTCAGTCCCAGCTTTTTTTGAAACAGGGTCTCACTGTCACCCAGGCTGGAGTGCAGTGACATGATCATGGCTCACTGCAGCCTCGATGCCCCAGGCTCAAGTATCATCCTCCTTCCTTGGTAGCTTGGACTACAGGTATGCACGACATCTGGCTAATTTTTAAAGTTTTTGTAGAGGCTAGGCACAGTGGCTCAACCCGTGTAATCCCAGCACTTTGGGAGGCCGAGGCAGGCAGATCACCTGAGGCCAGGAGTTCGAGACCAATCTTGGCAACATGGTGAAGTCCTGTCTCTACCAAAAAAAAAAAAAAAAAAGGGTGCAAGGGGTACAGTGGGTTCATGCCTGTATATCCCAGCACTTGGGAGGTGAGGCCGGGTGGATTATTGAGGTCCAGGAGATCGCGGAAGGACCATCTGACTGTGGAACATGTGACCCACATCTCTGTCGCTAAAAAAAAAAAAAGTCAGCAGGGGCGTGGTGGCGGGGCGCTGTAGTTCCACTACTCGAGGTGAGCAAGGAGAATGCCGTAACCTGGGCGAGTCGTGGCTCTGAATCGGCACCACGCTGCGACTTCGCAGCCTGTGGGAACAGGCAGACTCGTCTCAAAAACAAAGAAAATACATTAGCCTGGCATCATAGTGCACATGCTTGTAATCCAGTTACTCGGAGGCTGAGCAGAGAAATCGCTTGAACCCAGAGCGGAAGGTTGCAGTGAGGCTGAGAATCGTGCATTGCACTCGACCTCAGAACAAGAGTGAAACTGCATCTCAAAAAAAAACAAAAAAATTGTACGAGATGTCGCGGTCTGCCTATACGTGCCCAAGCAAGGTTGTCTAACTCTTGGCCTCAAGCAATCCTCCTGCCTCAGTCTCCCAAAGTACTGTGATTATAAGGGTGAGCCACTGTGCCCAGCCCCAGCTAACTAAGTGGGTTACCTGACCACCTTCTAGTTCTTTGGGGGTATTTAAAGAAGTTGATTTGCATAAAAGTACTTGGGGAAGTACTTAGTTCACAAGAAGTACAACCTCAAAAGCATTGCTGTGAGGACTCCACAGGGACAGACCAGGAAGTACTGTTTACAAAAAGTACCATTTTTGAGTCAGACCTTCCTGGGGTGCGATCGTATCCTGTCACTTTCCCCTTGGGTGATCTTATGCACTTGAGGTACCCCAGGGATCCTCCTTTTTCCTCCAAGTCTCACCTGCCAGAGGTCCAGGCCCAGCACACCAAAATTATCATAGGCATAGATACTGGGATCAGGAGAGTACTCGGGATTGTCAATTTCTGGGTGGATCCAAGTGCCCTTGTAATCTGGGTTGTCGATCTGCCGGGGCTTCCACTCACCCTGCAGAAGGAAGAAGGGAACTAGAGGGTGAGTAAGGTTGGTGCACTCCCCACTGTGAGCCCCAGCCCTGCTCAGAGCCCCAAACTCACCTTGTACTCAGGGTTCTGAATCACTGGGGGTTCCCACTCTCCATCCATCTCTTCATCCCAGTCCTCGGGTTTCTTAGCATCGGGGTCAGGGATATGCTCGGGCTTGTCCCAGTCCTGGGGGGTAGATGAAGAGATCAGAGTTGGCCCAAATATCCTCACACCCTCCAGTGTGGAGAGCAGAGCCCCCACCCAAACACCAACCTCAGGCTTGGAGTCTGTGGGATCATCGATCTTGGCCCGCTCATCCCAGTCTTCAGGTTTTGAAGCATCAGGATCCTTTATCTTCTTGGGTGGCAGGAAGTCCCAATCGTCTTCCAAGGAGCCCGACTCCACCTGGCTGTTGTCAATCTTCACCTCGTAAGTGTTGTCTGGCCGCACAATCAGTGTGTACAGGTGTGTAAACTCATCATCCTGAAGAAGGAAGAAGGTGAGCAGCCCCCCTTCAATCAGGCTGACCTCTGAACCTCCCCATGACACCCATTTGCCACCACCCCCAGGCACACCTTGCAACGGATGTCCTTGTTGATCAGCACGTTTTTGCCCTTGTAGTTGAAGATGACGTGAACCTTCTTGGTGCCGGGGCCACAGATATCAGGACCTAGGTGTGGAGCAGATCCAGTTAAGAGTCAGAGACTACCCACCATTTCGAGTTCCTCACCCCTCTTTACAAAAGGAAGACCTGGTTCCTAAACTCGGGTCTGTCAAGGCTGAAAAGAGAAACTCAGACCCTGATTCTGTCCTGAATGGGTTGTGGGTGAAGCCTTAAGTTTAAATTAAAAAAAAAAAATCAGTGCTCTAGAACTCAACATCCTCATTTGTAAGATTGGGAAATAACTATATACAATGACACAAATTAATTAACAGCCTAGATCTGCGATCATAACGCAATAAATTGTTGCTGTGACTTAATTTTTTTAGCGCCCCTTCCAAAGAAAATCATAACTATTAAGAAAGTCAGTGGGGTCTGGGTCTCCCTCCAACTAATGGGACAGAGGTCAGCACCAGGAAGCAGCCCCTCACCAAACATGATGTTGTATTCTGAGTCTCCGTGCATGTCCGTCTGGTCCAAACTATTAGGAAACAGCTTCACATAACCGCCCCCACAGTCGATGTTCTGCTCATGTTTCACCGTGAACTGCACCACCAGCGTCTGGCCTTTGTTGCTGAAAGGCTCGAAACTGGCCGACAGAGCATAAAAGCGTGCATCCTGGCTTGTCTGCAAACCTGAGACGGGACGGTAGTGTGGTCACCGTTGGGTCCTGACCCGCGAGGACCCTCGATTTAGACGACACAGACGACTCCCCCACTTCCTCCACCTGCCCTGCTCCTAGAGGACTGTCCCGGTTGTGTGTGCGCGGACAAGGACTTCTGCCAGGAAGTCCTCGCGGATCTGAGCACCCACTCCTAGGCTCTTACCTTTATCTTTCTCCTCGTCACCGTAGAACTTGCCGGAACTGAGGACGAATTTGCCAAAATCTGACTTGTGTTTGGATTCGATCCAGCGGGAAGTCCACCCGTCTAAGTGGGGGGTTAGAGAGTTAGGTCAGAGCGGCTCTGCTAATCCCCCCCACACCAAGCATCTGCGGAGAACCACAAACTGCTGGGGACAGGGAAAGAGATCCCCGACTCTCCCCACCCCAACCTCTAGTTGACACGTCGGGTGCCTTCAGCGATCCTCGGGCGAACCCTAACTCCCGCCGCGGGAGGCCGCTACGCCTTCCGCGCTCCCCAGGGACGCAGAAGAGGGATCGCCCGCAGCTCCAGTCGCCGGGGACCACTGTGTTGGCCCTCTAAGCGGTAATTACGGGCGACGACGCAGATCCGGGATGGGGGGCCGGCCGCGTCGTCGGGACGGCCTCGAGGTGGGACCAGGCGTTACCTCCGTCCAGAAACTGCTCCTTGAAGTAGACGGCGGGCTCGGCGGCGGCCAAGCCGAGGAGGCCGAGCAGCAGCGGCACGGATAGCAGCATGGCGGGCCGAGGGGGCGGCGGCGCGCGGGCCCTTTAAAACGACCCTCCGGCGGCGGCTCTGCAGTACGGACGGACGCCGCCGCCCGCCTTGCATTTTTATACCCACCCGCCTCTCAAACCAACCTGACCCAGCCCTTGGGCCCGCCCCTGACACTTTATCATTGGCCTGCGCCCACGGCCGTCTCTTTCCATTGGACCTTCGTCGGTTCACTAGGTTAGGCTGCGCCTCGGAACGCTGGGTTCCCAGATGGCCGATTTCTATTGGCCTCACCACTGACCAATGATGGTCGACCACGCGTTGTGGGGGACGCCCACTGGTGGGGTGGGGGCCGCGAGCCCCTCAGGCCAGGTCATGTGACCAGACCTGAACCTAAGACCGCCTTTGCCCGTGCGCGTCGTTCCCCATCTGGGCGTTTAAAGAACCCGCGGGAGCGCAGGTGTTTCCACGCGGGATCGGGACCCCGCCTCAGCTTCTCTTCCTCCCGTTCCCTCTAGGTGGAGGGGCTGGGCAAGGCTTTCCTAGCCAGTTCTTATCTTGCATTTGGGAACCAACACCCCACTGCTGCTCCCCCACCCCCGCCCAGGATAGGAGAGAGCTCATGGGTTGGGGCCCTGGGGCTACGCTGCACCCCGGTGCTACAGCCACGCGGGCCAGTGGGAAGAATGCCAGCCCTCTCCTCATTCTGCCCCTAGGGCCCTGGCAGCCTATCAGACTGCTGCTGTGTGACTGGGGCAAGTCACTTAACCTCTCTGAAGTGACAGACGTTCCTGAGCAGACAGAGGGGGTGACCCTGGCCAGGTGCTACCCAGCAGAAATGCTGTTAACGTTTTTAAAGCTGGCCTGGGACAAGAGGAAGACTTAACGATGTGACTGTGACTCCTGGGGTGGGGATAGGGTTATTACCCAGATTGCAGCAGCCCCTTTACTCTCCTCTCAACCGGTAAATGAAGGAGGTCGCTGTCTGTGGTCTCCCACAAACGGCCTGGCTTTTGCAATTAAACGGCTATAGGCGAGAGGGCAGGGGGTTCCGTTTGGGGAGGGAAAAAAGACACAGATGGTAGCGAAGATAAGGTGCTAGGGAGATGGGCAGGACCCCCCCCACCCCACCCCAGTCTGGAGTCTTCTGAAGCCAGAGGCACGTGACTGGCACCAGTACCCTGCCCCCACGCTGTAGAAAGGAGAGCTGGGGGTTTTCCAAACTCTGGGCAAATAAGCCCTGGACCTGGGAACACGGGAGTGGACTGTGAAAGGAGGGAATGAGGGGGATCCAGGAAAGAGGGTGAGGAGGGGGTGCTTCCTGGCTAATGGTTGTGACTCAGAAAAGGGAGGAAGGAAAAAATGAAAAGGAAAACAAAGTGGAGTGGGGGAATGACTTGGCAAGGGTCTTTGGTTAAGAAAAGAAAAAGAAATGGTGGCCGGGCGCGGTGGCTCACGCCTGTAAACCCAGCACTTGGGGAGGCCGAGGCAGGCAGATCATTTGAGGTCATGAGTTCGAGAGCAGCCTGGCCAACAAGGTGAAAACCCGTCTCCACTAAAAAAAAAAAAAAATTAGCTGGGCGTGGTGGTGGGTGCCTGTAATCCCAGTACTCAGGAGGCTGAGGTGGGAGAATCACTTGAAACCTGGGAGCCAGAGATTGCAGTGAGCCGAGATCACACCACTCCAGGCCACCAGCCCAGGTGATAGAGCAAGACTCCATCTTGAAAAAAAAGAAGGGGGAGAATGAATTGGGAAGTTGGGGTTCTACCCCTTCCTCTAGGTAGTATTCAGTATTGCCTAGTCTGGTCCCCTCAATGAGGATCCCGAGGACCATCCCAGGCCTCTGGCTGACCCTTCCTCCTGTTCCTGTGTCAGGCACCTGTGGGCTTGGCACTTCCTACCTGAGATTAGACACTGCCTGTTTTGTTCACTTTGCATCCTCCAGTGTCACCTGCAGCATCTGGCACAGAACAGGATTAAAAACTACTTGCTGCATGACAGAAGAGAGGAAGGAAGGACTTGTAGAAATTAACTAAAAACAGGCTGGGCACAGTGACTCATGCCTATAATCCCAACAGTTTGGCAGGCCAAGATGGGAGGATCACTTGAGGCCAGGAGTTCAAGACCAGCCTGGGCAACATAGCAGGATGCCATCTTTACTAAAAAAAAATTTTTTTTTTTTTTGAGACGGAATCTTGCTCTGTCACCTAGACTGGAGTGCAGTGGCGTGATCTCGATCTCGGCTCACTACAAGCTCCGCCTCCCGGGTTCACGCCATTCTCCTGCCTCAGCCTCCTGAGTAGTTGGGACTACAGACACCTGCCACCACGCCCAGCTAATTTTGCTTTTTTATTTTAGTAAAGCACAGGGTTCTCTGTTACCCAGGGTTCTCGCTCTCCTGACCTCTGTGATCCACTCCCGCCGTCGCCTGCCAAAGGCTGGGATTACACAGGCGTGAGCCACCGCACGCCAGCTGAAAAAAAAAGTTTTTTTAAATTGCCAGCATGGTGACGCCCCTGTGTTCACCAGCTACTCAGAGGCTGCGGCAGGAGGATCACTTCGAGACCCACGACGGTTGACACTGCGTGATAGCGTGTTCTTCGGCCACATAGGCACCTCTAAGCTCCGGGTGACAGACGCACAGACCCTGTCTCACAAAATACAATAAATAAGCTGGACACCGTAAGTTCACAGCTTGTAATCCTAGCCACATCTGGAAGCTGAGGCAGGCGATTTTTTTAGCCAGCAGTTCAAACCAGCTCTGGGCAACTGGTGGAACCTTGTTCTTACAAAAAAAAAAAATAAAGAAATACACATTATATATATAGTGCCCAATCAATATGAGATACATAAATTGTATAAGATGAGATATTTATGATTAATGTGTCACATATGTCAATTATATCATGTATATATACTATAAAAATTATGCGTGTGTGATACCTTACATTTTATATGAGTTACGTGTACCATATATACTAACCCACACACCTGGCACATATATAGTAACCTGGCCCATATATATATGCACGCCTATACTACTATAGTACAAATAAATTAGCCTGGACTGGGTGGCACACACCTGTACAGTCCCTCAGCTAGCTTTGGGAGGGCTGATGGCGTGCTGGTTGAGAGGCATCACTTTGAGCCAGGAGGTGAGGCCTGCAGTCAGCCAAAAGATCATGCCCACTGCAACTACAGCCTGGGCAACAAGAGTGAGACCCACTCTCCTAAATAAATAAATAAAATACATCAAACAACAAATGGGGAGAGAAGGGACTTTGCGAATGTCATCCTGAATAGCAGAAACCGTCATATAGGGTCAGGCTGGGGGGATAATGAGTCATCCACTTGTTGCAGACTCGCAAATAATATATTGTGATTGTAAAAAGGAAAAATGTGTTCTGCTTTATAAGAGTGATTTCGACGATGTGGACCACACTCAATGTAGTATAACAGTTGTGAATATGTGTGGGCATTTCAATTCTCACAATAACCCCTGAGCTGCCAATCATCGCTCATGTGGGCAAGAAACTGAGGCACAGAAAGGATAAGAGCCTTCTGGTTGAATGACATAAATGTCAGATCTAACGCAATTCTTTTCTTGTTTTTTTCCTTTTCTGAGACAGAGGAGCCTTGCTCTGTCACGCAGGCTGGAGTGCAGTGCGGGCCAAATCTCCGCTCACTAACAAGCCTCGCCTCAGGCTCAAAGTGACTGTCCTGCTCAGCTTCTGACTGTCTGGGGATACAGGCCTCCCCCACGGCACCCTGGCTAATTTTTGGTATTTTTAGAGGAATGGGGTTTCCGCCATCTTGGCAACGCTGGTCCTTTGAACTCCTCGAACGCAGGTGATTCGTGTCCACCTCAGGCCTCCCAAAGTGCTGGATTACAGAGCATGAGCCACACTGCCGTCCTGGGCTGCAACTGCATTCCAATCTACCTGTGCCTGACATAAATTCCACCACTGCCCCATGTGATTACTGGCGACCATTTGCAACAGGTGGTCTGCAACTGAGAGTGTGTTGGTACCGTGGTAACATACACATCAGATTTTCTGAAGATTTAGGTAACTGAACCAAAAAGTGCTTTTTTTTTTTTTTTTTTCAGACGATTTCGCCTTGTGTCAGCTGGCGCTCGCGCGCGATTCGCGCTTGCCTCCGCTCAAAAGCGATCTCTCCTCTTCAGCTCCCAAGGTAGCTGAGATTCACGGCTGCACCACATTCCGCCCCGCTCTTCTCTGCTCTTTTAGTCGCTCGCTTCCCATGTTAAGTCAGTGCTGGCTCTTGCTCTTCCACCTGCCTCAGCCTCCCCAAGATGCTCGCTTCACAGGTTGACCACCGCGCCCGGCCGAGTGCAAAATATTTTATTAGTCATCTTTTTTTTTTCTTAAGAGTCAGGGTCTGGTTGGCTGGGCACGGTGGGTCACACCTGTAATGCCAGCACTTTGGGAGACCGATGCAGGAGGATAATCTGAGCCTAGGAGTTTGAGACCAGCCTGGACAACATGGCAAAAACCCATCTTTACAAAAAATAAAAAAGAAAAAAGAAAAAGCTGGGTGTAGTGGCACGCACCTGTAGTTCCAGCTACTCAGGAGCCTAAGGTTGGAGGATCATTAGAGCCTGGGAAGTCAAAGCTGCAGTAAGCCATAATTGCGCCACTGCACTCCAGCATAGGTGACAGAGCAAGACCCTGTCTCAAAAAAGAAAGATGTTTTGCACTATATTTCTATAGGACAGTGCTAATCTAGGCCATGCAGTATTTGCACCGACGTTGCTCTCAGCGCACAGGGGTGGGGGATCTGAAAGGTTTATAATTTATGACTTAATTTCCACCAACTCTCTGTAGAACCTTGGGCAAGTCATACCACCTTCTGAGCCTCAGTTTTCTCATCTGTGTAATGTGGTTATATCAGTATCTACATCATAAAGTTTTGGGGAGAAATGAAATACTACACGTGAAGTACTTAGTTCTGGGCTAAGTACTACCACATAGGAGGTAGTCCACACAGGTTAGGTGCCACCTTGACTTACTAGATGAATCCTTTTCCCCTCTATAAAAAGGGATGGTACCTACCCAGCCTTCCTTTGAAATTTTAAAAGTAGCTGACATCGCCAAAATGACCATCTCTGGAGCCCACCACCCACCGCCTCTCGTAGGCAAGAGAGAATACCAGAAGGGCAGAGATTTCTGTAACCCAGAGAGGGTTAAGTCCAAGGTCACACAGCCCGCTCGAAGTGAGGCTAGATAAAGCTCAAAACAGGGCGGTGCTTCTGACCTTGAGATAATCGATTTTCCTCTCTAGTCAACCAGACGCCACTGATGGAGCCAGGGTGGAGGTGGGAACTGAGTCCCGTGCACCTTCTGAGGCTCCGTCGCCACACTCAAGATGACGACACATTGAGCCCTGCTCTGCGGTTAGACACATTCAAGATGGCGATGCACAGCCCGGATTCCGGTTCCGGTGGCTCAGGCCCCGGCCAGGACACGCTGAGCACACTGGAAGCAGCCATGGCGGATGGTCCGGTGGCGGAACTGCTGCTCCGGCGGCTGGAGGCGTCCGATGGCGGCCTGGACAGCGCCGAGCTGGCGGCTGAGCTGGGCATGGAGCACCAAGCGGTGGTGGGCGCCGTGAAGAGCCTTCAGGCACTGGGCGAGGTGAGCCGGGCCCGTGATGCCGGGCCGCCTTGCCCTTGCACCTACGGTCCCCTTGCCAGGAGGGCTCTACGTCCAGACCAAATTCCCTCAGGCCTAGTTTGGGGTAGCTGTATATGTGTCCACCCCGGGATGCGCGGACGGGAAGTGGGACGAGTGAGGGCCCAGATGTTCCTCATGCAATAAACGTTTATTGAGGCGCGGTCAGCGTGGGTAGGGGGAACTATAATGGACGAGGAGGACGCGGTTGCTGCCCTCACGCAGGTTGCGACCTAATAGGAAGGTGCTTCAAGAACTAGAGTGATGGGGGGAACACAGGGGACCCAGCTGTGACAGCTGACCCAGGCTTGGGGGTCAGGGAGAGCGGCCTGGTGCAGGTGACGGCTGAGTCAGTTCTCTGTAGAGGAAAGTGATACCACTTTAGAGATCAGTGGCCGGGATCTTCGGGGATGGCAGGCGGCGAGGGAGATCAGCATAGCTGTAATTGCAAGGCCTCTTAGGTCTTTACCTCACGAGGGAACTGGGGAGCGATAGCAGGAGCTAGAGCCCGGTCAGATGAGTGTGCTATCCACATCACCTTTGGGAATAACTGGCAGGGACAGGACAGGAGGTGAAGGGATGAAAGCAGAAGCTGGCACTTCCCCAAGCTGGATGGCATGATGTCTGGCTATGGGAAGGCAGCTTGGGGGAGGTGGGGAAAGCATGGGATTCAGGACAAGGCAGGGGGCATACGGATGAAGTCCAGCCTTCTGACTTGGGCAAGTGGACAATGACAGAGTCACAGGAGGAGGATGCTGAGGGGCCCGTGGGCCACCCAGAAGGCTGGATCCATGACGCCAGGATCTGGGCTGTTTATCCTTAGAGCTCACGTTCTGCGCCCCACTTTGGTCTCAGCTTGTTTGTCCAATTCATTCCATAATCCTGGCTGATGGCCATGTTATTCCCATTTTGCAGATGTGACAACTGATGGTCAGTAACATAATCAGTGTGAATAGAAGAGGCCGATGAACCCAGATTTGAAATTAGGCACTCAGGCTGCAGAGCCCATAGTCCTCAATGCAGAGGACAGATGGCAGCTGTGTTCTGTTGGGTGACAGTGCTTTGATCAATATGATTTGACATTTTTATACGTCACAGAGGGTTAAATAATATAAGGAGATGAGGTTAAATCTAATGACAGACAGTAATAGCCATAAAAATAATTATAGTAGTTAGAATTTATGCAGGGTGCAGTGGCTGACGCCTGTAATCCCAGCACTTTGGGAGGCCGAGGCGGGTAGATCACGAGGTCAGGAGTTCAAGACCAGCCTGGACAAGATGGTGAAACCCCGTCTCTACTAAAAATACAAAAAATTTAGCCAGGCATGGTGGTGGGCGCCTGTAATCCCAGCTACTTGGGAGGCTGAGGCAGATAATTGTTTGAACCCGGGAGGCGGAGTTTGCAGCGAGCCGAGATCGCGTCACTGCATTCCAGCCTGGGCGACAAAGCGAGACTCCATCTCAGTTTTGTGTTTCACGAGAAGCCGGCCTACCTGTCACTAGCTGGGTGCAGTCCGTGTGATCACAGCTCACTCAGCTTCGAACTCTGGTACTCAGTGGAGCTTCCGCTCAGCCTCCTGAGTAAGCTGGACACAGCACGTGCCACCCCACAAACCTGTTTAATTGAAATAACCTTTTTTTTTTTTTTTTTTGA